ATAGTATACTTCTTTAAATATAGATGAAGAGTTTGAAATATCAGAGACCACAAAGTCTACGATTTAGTATTGTGAATTTTTATTTTGGACACGAAAGAAATTCAAGACCATACATTTTTTAATAGTCATGTTGATGTCGATTTTTAGTTCTTGAGGGTTTCGGCTTGAGTGGATAATTGGATTCTATTAATAGCCATGAGAGCTTGATTCATGGAAGCATGCGATATTCAAGAAGGAGCCTCTTGTAAAGGCCATTTTTCTGTTTAATCATCATTATGATTCAAACCAAAAACTTTAAAGGGCTAATGAGGAAGAATTATAAATCAGAGAAGTGGAAGATAGAGAAGGATTGCTCTGAAATCATGTGTAGAAAAATAAGAAGAATATTACATTGGTTGTTCTTATTCCAATAGGTTGAAGGGGTTCAATATTTATAGGATACGCAAGGTCCAAATCATGGTACCCAAAATAGGAAGGTTAAAACTCCTAATCAGAGAAAGGAAACGCAAAGAAGAAAGAATTAGTGCAATAGAACCATGATATTATCTTCCTTCACAAAGGAAAAAATGTTCATCAAAATATGATAAATTGTGTTGTTTTGATTGCAAGTTGCGGTGAGAGCTTCTGTAATGAAACTTATGATATTTCTGGGATGAAGAGGATGTTAAATGCTGTAAGGAGGGATTCCAGGATTGATTGGCAGCTGGCCGTTAATTGGAAGGTTCCTATAATTAATTCCAGAAATTCTTGAATCGATTGATAGCTGGCTAATACTTTCAAAGCTACTCGAAATGGTTTCCTGCTTTCCACTCGTGATTCATTGCTGGCCGCTGCTTGTGAGGCTACCAGAAATGGCTCCAAGATTTTCACATTTTCCACCCCAAAGTTTGCAGTATAGCGTTTATTATAATGTAGTTGATGCTCGAATGCAGTATATTTCAACAGCTTCAAAAGCTCATATCAACCAGACTAAGCTGACACCCACACCTTTAAAAGATGAGGTATAATATTCTAGAATTTTCTGGGACTTTCATGCATGCTTCTTAATAAAAATTGGGTTACCTGTTGCATTTTTCCAATAGTTTACCTCAAATATGCTTGATTTGGATTTGGTGAGCTGTATCAATTTCGTCCATGTGGTCATATAGTATAGCCCAGATTATTGGGAACTTTAGTTGTGAACTTCGTCTGTTTGGTTTCATGGAACTATGAAGCATGCATTTTACGATAGTAGAGTGCATGTTTTTGGTAAATTCATAAACGAAAGTGTTAGATTGGATGCTATTTAAAGTGTTATTATTTCTTCTCATGTAATGCCAGTTTCCCAGTCTGTCGTGAAAGTAGATTTGGCCTATTTGGCTACATTTTCCTTGCACTAAAAAGTTGGTCTCTGAGTTTTTTTTTTTTTCTGGTGTGATTTGCAAAGATTCCCACTTTACCTGCATTTGTTTTGTCCAATATATTTCCAATTAATTAGATTCGGTCAAATCCAATATATAGATATCTAACATCACTTTCTGTTGCACCACTCATATTCAGAGTTGTTCATGCATTTTGGTTCCTGGTGGATTTGGTGACCGTGGAGTTCCTGGAATGATTTTGGCTGCTAAATATGCCAGGGAAAACAAAGTTCCGTATCTTGGGATTTGTTTGGGGATGCAGATTTCTGTTATAGAATTTTCTCGATCTGTATGTTTACCATTTTTTTAATATTTTCATTTTCTTTTAATACATTTACATAGCCTCTCTTTTTTCCTCCCTCTCCATGATCATATTAACTTTTGGTTAAAGTTTTTATAGGCTTTGGGGATGGAGAGAGCAAACAGTGAGGAATTTGATCCTGAGACTCTATATCCCGTTGTAATCTTTATGCCTGAGGTATTTAACCAGCTAAATATCATACTTGCTTGAGAATGAGAGTGTAGAGAGAACATAAATTATGATGTTTGAAAGCAGGGTTCAAGAACTCACATGGGAAGCACAATGAGACTGGGTTCACGGAGAACATTCTTTCAAGACTTGAATTGCATTTCTTCAAAGCTGTATGCCCCGGATGGATTGATCTTTATGTTCAATTAACATCTATTTTTTTTTGTTGGCTTCTTTTCTGAACATTGCAAAAAAAGTTACTGGTTTATTGTATTTTGTAGGCATCTTTTTTTCATAATTAGTCGTGTGAATATTATAAATTTATTTATTTTTGCATCTTTTTATATGAAGTGTGAACTAAAGATTTCTTCTAATCATTTTTAGATATGGAAACTCTTCATTTGTGGATGAGCGTCATCGACATAGATATGAGGTTAGCTATTCTATTTGGCTTGATCGTTTAGTTTAGCTATAATAATGTAAAAAGAATGATATGGACACTTTCTTTTCATTTTGTATCTTGAGTACACAATGAGATTAGCTGTCTATAATATAGGGTTTGTATAATGCAGTTGTAGTTGTTTATAGAAGTAGTTGTAAAATTACTGTGAAAAAAATAATTTTTATAAAAGCTTATATGGATATTATAGAATTTTTCTTTTATATTGCTATCACACTCATAAAGATTTGATTGTAAAAACTATTCACTACAATTATGTTGAAAAACAACAGAAGAACTCATCAAAAGACATGGTCATCTATTGTTTTAATTTTGATTTTTGATGAGTGCATATATAGGAATTTTTTTTGTTAAATTTGATTAAGTGACTTCAATAACCCCCCCTTTTTTCTTTTGAAGATGAGTGTAACATAAATTTTGATTGATTAATCATATATTAAACTCATCTAAAAGCTAATATTATGACTATAATTCCCTGTCCCGAATTTTCTTCTCAACCACAATGTTTGTATTGTTTTAGGTAAATCCTGATTTTGTGGAAAGCCTTGAAAGCGCCGGTTTAAAATTTGTGGGAAGTGATGAAAGTGGAAAGAGAATGGAGGTAACTGTGGATCTGATAAAGCAAGTTAAATTTTAGTGATTTTGTTCTATATAAAAATTCATATCTTCTTAAGTTTGGCATGATTAAAACAGGTTCTGGAGCTACCAAATCATCCCTACTACATTGGTGTTCAGTTCCATCCTGAATTCAAATCAAGACCTGGGAAGCCTTCTGCCTTATTTTTAGGTAATATGTGATGAGATGAAATGGAACGAATTTTCAATATACCATCACTGTTTCTTCTTTTTAAATTTTTATGAAATAACTTTTAGTTTGAAAAGTTAATATTTTTTCTTGCATTTCAGGGCTTATATTGGCTGCAACGGGAAAATTGCAAGCTCATCTGGACAAAGCTTAGTGATAATAATTTTAAAGACTGTTGCTGACTTTAATTCGCTTATTTCAGGTATTAAAAAGTTTTCATTGGTTGCTTGTTGATATAGATGGTTTTATTTTCATTTATTTTTGTGTTATATGCTAAAGTTTAATTACATTCAACCAAATGATAAATGATGTCAATGACGACGACAACAACAACAACATCAAAGCCTTTGTCCCACTATGTGGGTTTGGCTACATGAATACTTTTTCGCCATTGTGTCATGTTAAAAGTCAAATTCTCGTTTAAATCTAATAAAGAAAAATCATTTTTAATATTTTCTAACCAAGTCTTTTTAAGTTTACCTCTACCTTTTTTAACATAAGTTAAATCTAATACCTCAACTTTCCTAACCCGGTCATCGGAAGGCTTTCGTTTAATGTGACCAAACCATCTAAGGCGGCTGTCTCTAATCTTATATTCCATTGAAGCTATTCCAACCTTTTCATGTATATGCTTATTTCGTATCCTATCTCTAAGGGTAAAACCACTCATCCACCCAATCATCCTCCTCTCTGCACCACTTAACTTAGTATTATGCTTCTCTTTTAATGACCAACATTCGGCACCATAAACCATAAAGCATAATGAATGTTGACAATTTTATTATTTTTAATAATATATTTTTGAACTTGTAGCAACTAAATTAGCCAAAACTAAATATTTTTATGTTTTGTTTTTCACTGATGTCTGTTGAATGCAGGGAAAGCTTTGGAGGTTTTGTATGATGGCAACCTAAGTGGGTGTTGGTACCAAATTTGGCCAGATTTGATAGGTTTTGGCAAAGCAAAAAAGTTTTCGGTGTTCATGTTTAATTGTATTCAGCTTGAATTTGGCTTATTTGAACAAGTTCATTTATTTAATGAGGTCAAAATGAATATAAACTTTATTTTATTATGTTTTGAGTTGAGCATACCTTAATGTATAAGATTTTCAAATAGAATAACAGCAGAAAAAACAAAATCCCTCATCCAAATAAGTTTCCTATGATCCAGATATGGATCATGCACTAGCTCTTGTCCATATACGCATTCTCAAATTCTTCAATTTTTATTCATAAACCCTTAGATCCATTATAGCTGCTAGACGAACTCAACGGCCAAGTGCAATACTAGGGGTGTTAGTAAGCCATGATGACTTAAGCTCGACTTGTTTATGAGCTCACGAGCTGAGTTTATCGGTGAGCTTATCGAGCTCACGAGTCAAACTCGAGAGCCAGCTCGAATAAATATTAATATTTTTTTAATAATTTATTTTATTTATTAAATTTAAATATTTAAAAAATTAATAAAAAACACCAAAATTTTATTTAAATATTAAACACTTTATTTTAAATCCTGTTTAAATAATCCTATCTAATTTTTAAAAACTTCAACTAAATTTTAAAATTATTGTTGGCTCGAGCTCGTTTACAAAGATGAGCTCGACTTGAGCTCGATCTCGTTTTGGCCTAAACTCTAACTCTAAACTCTAACTCGACTTGTTCACATCCCTAGCAATACCTCTTCATCCAACTCTCCCCAAACTCTCTCACTCTCTCTCTATCTCAAGCTTGAGCTCTGCATTGGCAGTCTGTCTCCTTCAAATTCTCTATTTTCTCCACTCTTAGTATTCTTGCTACATTCCAAATCCTATCTTTGACCAAATTACCAGATATAGCTGAAAAAGTCAACGCAGGAGAAACAAACCCAAGAATAAGGCTGACCAACCTAAAAATTCCTCTATGAATATTACAAAGAATAAAGCCAAAACAGATATCTGTTAAGATATTCATGAAAATTTAAATACAATCTCTAATGACACGTTTACCTAATTATGAATACAAAAAAAAAAATGTTTGACGACTGTAGATCATGATGAGCTCCGTATTAAAACCCTCGAGCAATGAAGCAGCACAGTTCTGTGATAAAAATAAGAAACATATAACATTGAAGACCATGGCATGTTCATATATAAATAAAATGGGCCAGAAAATAAACAATATGGTTGGCAGCAAGATTTAGCAAAAGATTTAGCTGAGATGCAGGTTATATCATGCCAAATAGCTTTTTGGAACTCCAAAAATATTTGCCAATGTCTTCTCCAACCGAACTCCAAACACATGAATGGTCTCGCTCGCGAGACCCAGCCGAACGACAAAACTTCCGGTATTTGATTGCAGGTGAACAATGCGACACTAATATTAGCGTTGCATTGTTCACCTGTGTTATTTTTCTGTCTCTACCGGATTTGTCGAAGAAACGCACGAAAGAGGAGAAAGACAGTTACCTTCTGCGAATGGCGCAAAATGGAGTTAGATTGAGATGAATCATGCCATTTTTTAGCTTCACTGCATTTTGGAATGAAAAATGCGAATTTCGGTTGGAGATGCCCTAATCCCAGCTCATAAGACAGAAACTCCGTTTCTCGTGGATACTAAGGCTTCGTTTGGGATGGTTTCTTCCTGCTTCTTAAAGTGGCTTTCTAATACAAAAATTAAAATTTTTACAATGTAAAGCCGCTTTGCAAAGAAGTAAGAAAGTTGTCCCAAACGAAGCATAAAACAGCTGCTGGGAGATTTAGATATTAGATTATTATAAAAAACAAGATAAAAGTTTCAAAATTTGCACATTAAACGCATAATCTCATAAGAAAATAAAACCATTGAAATCTATAATGTCATAGGAAATAAATAAATGTGACATACCTAGAACCAAGGTTAGATACCAGTGTTAGACCTTCGCATGGCAGCCTCAGCAAAAGCTTCCTTACGTGCTTCAAAATCTTTTTTACGTGCTTCCCTCGTTTCTTTTCTCCGAGCCTCCTTTGCAGCAGTGTCAGCCCGCACTTTATCCATGACCAAATCAAATCCAGGGATGGTACGCTCCAGCTTGTTACACACTCTGATGCTCAGCTTGCGAAAGATTCTAAGCATTCTCTGCAAAACATGACCCACAATGTTGGCCCGTAAATGTCAACTTTTTGAGCAATTATTCTGTGCGGATACCGGACGGTTCTCCGGAACAGAACCGTCCGGTTATGCGCTCGATACCGAGCGCGGTACATTTTGGTGTGACATGACTCATTTTTATTGGTCTCAGGACAAATCCGGACACCACACGTAATAATTTTTCCAACTTTTGATTCGAGTTTTTTAACAGTTGGGTTAAAAATACATGATTCAAACAAAAGCTACTACTCCCACGGGCAATAAAGTTGTGAGATTCCACCATTAAGCAGAAATCAAGTGCAGGCATTAAGACTAAGGGCTCGTTTGGTTCCACATAATTCCTTCGTTTTTCAGTTACTAACAGAAAACTCAATTGACGGAACATGTTTGGATGTGAGGCATACTTTTTCAGAAATTTCATTTCTCTAATGTTTTGAGATGCGTTATGTATTAGCTTCACAATTTAAAAAACTCCATATCCCCTATTGACATTTTTGACACCGAAACGGTAAATAAACCAAACGAAACTTAAAAGAATATTGATACTAAAATCTCGAGACAATAATCCAAACCAAGCAGTTAAGATTTTATCTCTTTGGATGATGTAAACATTTGGCATTTACAGTCATGATTGCCCAAAATGCTGTCCAAATATTCTTTTAATTCCTTTCGTTTTCCAACTCAAATGAAAGCTTCAAGTAAAACATGCCTAGGTTCAACTCTCTTCTTCACTTCCACAATTTCCGAGAATTATGAAGTACTTGAAACATCAAAACAATAAGGACAGAACAGAACAGAACAGAACAAAAACCAGACAATTTGTCAACACAGCATGCAAATAGATGATAACCAAAAGAGTAGTAAAAGCATGAAGGTTATAGAAATGGAAGAAGGCACCTTTACTTCCCTGTTCCACTCTCTTATATATGGAGGACCTGTTGCATAGGATCCTAGAGGTTCACGATACCATTCCCCGTTGTATGTTATTGTGTCCATAGCTTGTTCCACACTCAGAACCTCCCATGGCCTTAAGCCTGGAATAACTTTTGCAAGGCGATTCCTGGAACAGAAAGGAACTCATATATAACTCACGCTTTTAAATAAATATTGACTGAAAATTGAAAACATCAAATTAGTAATATCAATAAATCTAAAAAAACAGTGCTAATATTCAGCTACCTCGACCTTTTTAGCTATCAAAATAAGTCAAATACAGAACATAAAACCTCATCAAACATGTAAGAGATATGTAATGAAAATGAGACAAAAGAAATTAACATTCAAATGAAATTTGCTAGCATATCAAGATCTACAAAATACCATCATTTTTTCGTATTATGGTCAATGTTTTAAGAGGAGGGATAACATAAAGCATTTTATTTGTCATTATATTCTAACTTCAAAGTTTAATTAATACAAACATATAAAATCAAATCAAACAAGATGGGATGCAAGTTAATGTAAGGCCAAGGCAAAGACAAGCGGCAAATCAAGAAGAAAAAAAAAAGGAAAAAATTAGAGAGCTCAAGGGAAGTGAGCAAAGATTTCAAGATAGACTGGATGCAAGGACAACAAAGGCAAGTCAGGTTTAGAGTTTTAATATTTTTGTGGACTTGTAGAAGAGGAATTAACTCTTATGGGACATATATTTATTTAATTTAAGTTAATTAGACTTAACTCTTAAATGATTATAGGCAAATAATCTTTATATAAATAGATATGAAAATTATTTATAATTTGCTAATATTTCCTAATTTGATTTTCCATTGATGGGCACAAGAGGGAAGCCCAAGAAGCTTGGGGGCAAAGCCTCGGCCTAAGGGGCATACTCCCTACAGGTCGTAAACCTCCCCTACCATGCCCCACCCCGAGGCAAGCCCTTAAAATTCCTTCAAAAACACTTATTATTACTACAACATAGGAAACCTAAAGAGCACATAATTTTAAATAAAAATACTCTCAAGACAAAATGCTACGTGAGACTTTCCTATCGTTTTAATGGAAACATCAAGAGACCATTCATAGAAGTCTGATTTGCAAGGGACAAGTTTCTAGGCTCTCTGTATGGAAGTGAAGAAAGGAACATAATGATTACTAAGGCTTCATTTGTGATAACTTTCTTCCTGCTTCTTAAAGCGGCATTCTAATATAAAAATTAAATTTTTTGTACTAGAAAGCCGCTTTAAGCAGCAGTAAGAAAGCCGTCCCAAACGAAAGCTAAATGTGCATATCACGGTCACATAGTTTGAACACACCTTTGCAAATAATGCTTCCCGCAAACCTAGTCTAAATTACTTGAAAAAGATAAAGATGTATCATAAAATCTTAGATTTAGCTAGCCTTATGAACTTGTTCTTTGGTACAATAATCTCCAAAGCATAAAATTAGGGGAAAAATTGAATATTAAAAAGATCTGAGAGTATGAAATAGAGACAAACCTTAGTTCCTTGGACACGTATTTGTTTGGCATGTGATCCGCTTCCAGAATTGTAGTGAGTTCGGCGCCACTGGCCCAAAGAAAGAGTGCATGGCTAGGAGTTCTAACTCCAGGCCAGATGCCACCATTTGCCTCAAGTACAGCCATATCCCGTCTTTTGCTCTCAAGAGCTTCTTCCTGCAATTGCTTATAAGTCTTCTTTTCAAAACCTTTAAGAGGAGTCCACGGGGATATGCCTTTTTGCAGTTTGTGAAGGAAAGCCGTTGCAGCTGCACCTAGCCTTACTTCCCATGTGGCGATAGCTTTTTCCAAGCCATAAACCATCCCAATAGGTGCCCATTCATCCATGTCTTCACCCCAAATGAAGGTGTGTGTATCAATTATGCCACCAGCCCAAGCAGTTTTAAGAGTTATTAATTCCAAAGGACCTCTGGTGCGTCCCAAGCGATCCTTATACCACCAGCCACCACTTCTCATGATGACTAAATATGAAAAAAAACCACGAATTTTAGAAGAAATAAAGAATAATAGATATGCGAACCAGAAGAAAAGTCCACCAATTAAGAGCAATTATAATGAAAACATATAATTCTACAATATCACTTTGCATATGGCCTTCCTTCAAAATGGAATGAATGATAGAAGGGTTACAAATGGAAAAGATCAATTAGGATCCACCTAACCACCTTCATGGAGATTAAGAAATGATGGACTCATGCATAAACAACTTTTCATACAGTTCACATCAAGCTAAGATAAAAAATGCACCAAATCACAACCATCAATCTTATAAAAAAACCAATATGAAGTTAGCTTTAAAGACTACTGATTCAATGTTTATCCGGCATATAGAATTCCATAAAAATAACTCTAAACATAAATCCTTAAGGAAAACTTCTAGACATCAATTTTGGCTGACACAATTGAAATCTAAACATGAAAAGTGTACACTTAAGTTTCTCAAGTTAGGTATATCTCATCAGTATTCATTTTTTATCTACTCTAGCCATTAGTCAATAAAAAGAAAAGCACACTGAACTGTAAATTATACATGTTCCAATTCTACTTTATGGTCCAAACGTTATAAATTGGGCCTGTATTCAGGAAGGGGCAAAACGAAGCCAATGGAAATCAAATAATTTTTGTGCACCGAAGAATAAAATCAGAAATTATATAACAATTGTTTTGCGCAATGTATGCAAATGGCTTCATTCTCCGCGGTACTGTTAACATGGTGGCAACGACAACTTCGATTCCTAGTTTTATCCTTATTTCTACAAGCATTTCATCCCTTCTCGTACAGTAAGCGAGTAATTGAACAAAATGGATTCTAAATCAGAAATTGCAGGTATAAGATATAAACTCACAGTCATAGTAGCGCCTTTCCAGATTCTTGTACCCAATCGCCTGAGCAACATCGATTGGCCGGCTAGTGGGATACGGTCTCTGCCTGAAACCCCACAATCCAAAGAAGAACTGTCTTGCAAAATCCCAGAACTTGTCATCGGATTCCCTCTTCGTTTTGATAGCCTTCCTTGGCATTGGCCGGCCATCCGGCCCCGGCACATGCGGCAAAGCCTTCCAGAGCTTGCGATCTTCCCACCGGTAAGGATGCTCGTTTTCCTTGAGTTCCATCTCGTTGATCTTATCAGCTATTACCTCCGCCCGCCTAAGGAACTTGACCACAGGGTTCTTTTTGAACTCCTCCCACCACTTCAAGTTCTCTTGTATCTTCTCTGGCGTCAGGTTCTCTGGCTTCTCGAAGAATGGATCATCAGCGAGGATACGCTCCACAGCGGGAGTGTGCCGGTAGTCCGGGCGGTGCTCGCATTCCCAGTGGAATTGCTCAAGCATCTGTGAATACATACCAGGCTTGTCCTTCTTGGAAGTATCAACGTCGGTAATTCCATCAGTAGAGGAGGAGGTAAGATTAGGGTTTTCATGATTCTCTGCTTTCTGGATAGGGAGGTTTCTGCCACTGATGCAGGCGAAACTGGGAGGTTTAGAGGGTTTATTGGGTCGACGGAACCAGTTGTCACCAATCCAACCGAGGTTGATGGAAGCCATGAAAGGGCGGGCGGCGGGCACTTCCTAGAGTGCGAAGGATGGAGATAGATGACCAAAAATTGCTTCTTGTTTAAAAAAAAAATGCTTTTTTTATTAGAGTTTCTATGAACTCATGCATCCAATCAACATAATTAGTGTTTATGTGTATCCCACCCTTTGTATTAGAAGACATGAGATAGTGGAGAATTTTTTTTTTTTTTTTTACTTTGTCGAAGTCCAATTCCTCAATGAAAAAAAAAGAAATTTATAAAAAAATTTATCGAATAATCATGACATGAATTTTTCTAATTTTCATTTTTTTGCTTCTTAAAATTATATAAAATATATGTAATATTTATGTTATATTATGATAATTATTTGGATTCTATATAACTCTTCCTTAAGTTGAGTATCCTGAATTTTGAAAAATTTGTAAAATTGAGGATCATAAATTTATTGTACATTCAAATTAGCTATCTTCCCACTCTAATATAATGGATAGATTAAATAATACATAATAAATATGTTTAATCTTCTTTTAAAGTCTTCTAATTCTCTTTTGTGATTTGCTTTAAAAGTTTTCTTACAATTATAAATTCGCCATTCTTTGTTTCTTCGAAATGTGATGCTCGAAAGCAAATGCAGATATAACTAAATGACTTTTATCCTGCAACGCAAATTCATATAGCTCTGAAAGGCTTTATGGTAATCAATTTTCCTTTGCAAAGATTGAAGGTTTCATCATCTCCATAACATTGATAAATAAATTACTAAGAGCGCTCAAATATATTAGATTAATCTTTTTCTTAGCGATTTTTACAAACGTAACACTTAAAAAGTTTCATATTTACTCATCTAACATCCAAATTTATCTATTTACACGCATACCACCTAAAATTTATTTGACTTTCTAAAATACCATCCCGTCTTCCTCTCCGTCAAAATCCGCCTGATGCCGCATAAATCATCCACCTGCTCCCTCTTTTTGCCTCTCGCATGCTCGCCGCTCCCTCTCTTCGAAAACAATACTAGACGGATGCTTAGATAGATCAACCGGCTGGCTCTCCTCCAAGCCTTGATCCGCCATTACCCCTAGCTCTCTACAAACCTCTTTGTATAAACATGTTCACTAGCCAAATAAGACAGCTGACTTAGTGAAGCCTGACACATGCTCAAATTCTAAATCACTCGCATACCTGCTTTGCTATCTTTAATCTAAATCTGATCAGAATTCTTACCAGACCAAATAATGCTCTAACTCTTAGTAAGAGATCAAGAAAGAACACTACTTGATAGCATAAAACAGGTCGATTTTGTAGGGGAAAACAAGGTCGGCCAAACAGATGATCCGTGATTTCCCTGGTTCAAGGCACAATGCGACGACGGGAAGCAAGAAAATGTCCGATCTGAGCGGGAAAAGGAGCAGCGAGCCGAACCCCATTTCCGAGAGCCAAAGAGATGGAGCACGCGGACGGTTTTCATGAACATGAAGATGAGTTTCACGCGGTATCGGACGGGTTTTAAAGGAGAAGAAGAGGGAATGATATTTTAGAAAGAAAATAAGTTTTAGGTGGTATATGTGTAAAAAGGTAAGTTTAGGTGTTAGATGAGTAAATAAGAAACTCTTAAGTGTTATGTATGTAAAAATCCTTTTTTTTATAGTACATATCTTGCTTAAGTTTCCAACAAATATCTTATTCGCAACATCATGTATTTTCGCTTATTATATCCACACAAATCTAACTCTTATCAATGTTTATTTGATAAACATAATCACTACATAGCTAACAAGGGCTTAACACCTCCTTGTTAAGGCATATATTATGAATAACTCATCTGAGTTCACTTATAACCATATCTAGGTGTTGAAGCCGCACAAGAGCTTCATCAAATTATATGTCTTTATATTAACATCTACTACTTATCATACTCATAGCTTCACTACTAATGTTGAATATAATAAAGATATTTCCTTTATTATTTTCCATGATCTTATATTCTTATGCTATTTATAAGGAAACTATGCCTTGCAATACATGAACTTTTTATATTGCATATCCATATTATTTATTAACATAGTTATTTTCTTACATTTTTTTTCTTGATTAATTAAGGTAAGACTAATTTATGTAATGGTGATTAAGCTTTCTATTAATGATAATGATCATGATAATTATGCTTTCTTTGCCATTTTGAAAATTTGTTTTCTGTGCACAATTTGCACAAAATTTAAGGAAAATGACATTAATTAATTATAGCATAAATGTAGGAGTATGTGGACCATAAAACATTATTTTTCAAGTATTATGTCTTTAGGTGATAAAGATAAGAGTAAGAGAGTTAATGCCAATTGCACTTTCGTTTTTGGATTATTTAATTTTTATTTTTTTAATATATATTTTACTTTGTCAAGAAAATAAATAATAATAATAATTATTATTATTATTTGGAACGGGATATTCACCTGCTGTCATTCCCGAAAGGGCGCTTGACGGCGTGACTAATACTTGATTGACCTAGAAGAGGCACCCACCCCAGAAACCTCCTGCCCGACGCTGCTGCTCAAGAGGAATCGAACATGAGTTGTGAGATTTCCAATCGTACTTGTCCACCGACCAAGCTAAGCAACGGTGGGTAAGAAAATAAATAAATAAACTCTCTTCTGTTACCCAAAAAAAGCTTCCTGTGAGGTCTCCGTCAGAGACAGGTGAGCTTATAATCTGACAAAATTCAAGTCCAAATAGAATTTGAAAATCTCTCCATTTTCCAAGAATAATGCTCAGCTGATTGTGTAATTGCTAAACAATCATTTTTTTTTATAAAAATATATTCAGAAATACTAAAATTAATCCAATTTCATCAAACATGATAATTGAAGGTGAGCTTTACACTTCAAAAATGCCGAATATAAAAATTTTATCTAATGAAATCGGTTTTAACATTTCTACAGCATGTTATTATGTTACAAAAAATCAAATGGGCCTTTATATAATGCCAAACTCCTACCTGCCTTGTCATTTGGTGTTGTTGCAGGTGATTTATTACCTCTGAATATTCACATTCAATGAGTGAATGCAATGAATTTTATTCTTTCAGGTGTTTGTTGAATTGCCGAATATAAGAAATTTTTTAAGAATGACCAGATCAGATATGCATAAGATCCAAGGGGACAGCACCCCTTGGCAGGGTTTGACCTGTCCGGTCAGGTCGCGGGGTCAAGGGGCAGCGCCCTACGGCAAATTTATAAGTAAAGTGTAGAGATTTCGTAGATATGCATAAGATCCAAGGGGACAGCACCCCCTGACAGGGTTTGACCTGTCCGGTCAGGTCGCGGGGTCAAGGGGCAGCGCCCCCGGAACAAATTTTGATTTTAAGGATATTTTTTTATTCTCTTTAATATTTTTCTTTGTATTTGATTCAAAAAATAACACCTCTGCACAATGTGTTTAATTATGCTTGGGGTAATTGCCTAAAGGCCATATTATTTTAAAACTTTTAGGGGGGCAATTGTCTAAAAATTCTTATAATAAAGACTAAAAAATAGATGGAGACTGACAAATTACCTAAAAAATCATGCAATAATTTTTTTATGGGGGGGTAATTTTCCCTCGGGGCGTTAGGTAGATCTGCCTCTCCTAGGAACAACACACTTTGGACAATCATAACAATTTTTTATTATAGTTGTGCATATAGTAGTCCAAGCAAGCAAAGATTTGCCTCCATCTATGCATATGAACACTTCAAAATGCCATTTGTGACCTTGAATATGCATCCAATATTGACACGCCTGTGTTTCATAGAACATCATTAAGCTAATTGAATATATGCCCATTTACGAATATAATTTCATTCATATATATATCACCCGATCAGGATTTTACGTGTGAAAAGTTTGGTCTTTTTTAAAGAAACAATGAAGAATTATGTTAGAATTTCTATGTTTATGCAGCATTCTTGGCATGCTATGTTAAAAAAATATTATGTTTCTCCCACTTAGGTGCCTAAGTAGATAAAATCCCATTTGATCATATTTTTAGAGAATTAAGTGAGAGTTTATTTTTGACCATACATGAGTAGCATGGACATCAAGTGGGGTTTGAGCTTGCTCTACTGGATTAAAGAAGTATTTATTTATTCAGCTCAAATTTAAATTTAAATCAAATTTATTTTTAGTGGAGCCAACTCAACTCTTTGAGTACTTTATATTTATTAAAACAATTTTTTTTTTCGCCCCTTAAGTGGTGGCCCCAAAGCGCCGGCGACGGGTTGGCGTGGGTGCCCCGGTAGGATGACCAAGGTTTACGGATCGCAAAGCCCTTGACGAAGCCAGATGTGACAGTGGACTGTTCCTCATCACCAAAAAAAAAAGTTTTTTTTTTACTATATATTGGTCTATATCAATGCGCATGGGGACATGCATTGAAAATGTTGTCATCATTGCTATTGCTATGTCCATATTTTGACCAAGTTTTGAACCCTATAGACTCATTAAATCACTCATCAGTACACTTCACATGCCTTTATTTTTTCATTCTTCAATTTCATAAGCTAAGCTAAGCTTTATTCCAAACCTTCTCTTTCTGTCTCCTTCCTTTTGTTTTGGACTAAAGAGTTGAACTGTCTGAATTGAATGCCCTGCAAAAAAGCTGCTACTAATTTCATTTGAGGAAGCCTCTCATACTTCTTTTCTCCCTTATCAGTAATCAGTCCTTCCCTTTCTAAATGTCTCCATCTCCCTCTTTCCAAGTCCTTTTTAGACTACTAGCTAGCTTTACTTTCTCCAATGGAGGAATGGAGAGAGCTTATAGTATAGCTAGCTCGAAAGCTTCTGAGAAAGTTGGAAAAAATCTCTCTCAAATCTAGCCTTTTTTAGAGTTTTCAGTTGGAGTTTCTGAGTTTGGTTACAGCTAGAAAGCCTTTTTATGGCTTGTCTAATGAGAAGATGCCAAGGCCTAATGTGTTGGAGGGCTCTAGCGAAAGACGGTGAAGGAATAGAATATGCATCATTACAAGAAAAAGGGAGAAGTTGTAATGATTTAGTATCACAAAAGAAATGTCATTATCATCAAATACATAAGCTTACAGCTCATTTTAGTCTATTGGTTGAGAGCTTAGGCTTCCAATTAAGAGATCTTGGATTCGAGTCTTTGTGTATGCGTTGTGTGTGTGAATTTATCTTAATGGCCTAAATGTCCCAAAAAAAAAGAAGGATTTTTACATACATAATACCTAAAACTATTGAAAATACATATTTAATACCTAAACTTTTATATTTACTAATATACCACATAAAACCAGTCTTTTAATCAATTCTAACCTTCAGTTTAAACATTCCGTCAAAAATCACTATTAGAGATTGTCTTCCCCGTCAATGGCATCCTTTCACAATGAATACAAGTATCTCATGGCTTCAATGGAGTGCTAGAATATAAGAAAATAGGGATTTTAGGTGGTATATTAGTAAATATTGAAGTTTAGTTGTTAAATATGTATTTTCAATAGTTTTAAGTGTTATGTATGTAAAAAAAAAAAAATACACAAGCTTTAAACCCAATAACTATTGGTTGATAGTCAAAGCTCCCAATAACCCTATCATATTTTTATGATAGAAAGAAGATTTTTAATTATATGCAATCATAATATTGCATGCATTATGGAAAATAAGTCTGTCACTTAAAAAAAAAAATTCTTATAAGAATATTTGATTGGAAACTTTCTATGATCTAGCAAGGACTCTTCATTAATAATCTTTTTCATAAAATGCAGACAAAAAACCTTTTTTTAGCTATAATAACGAACACTAAACAAACGTTTTGTTTCTCTAATTTTACCATTTTCAAATTAATTAGAATTAATAATAAAGCTTCAAAAACAAGAAAAAAAGTTCATTAAATAAACCCATAAGGCCATAATCAAAGCAGCTAAACTCAGTTAATTATAATCATTATAATGAAATTAGCATCTCTTCGAGTTAACAACAAAGCCCAACCACCAACTACAAGAACAGCCACACAATATCCTACGCAGGCCCAACCCCATCAGCACCCGCCGCCCTAGCGCCAGGCGCCCTAATCATCAAATGTCCCCCAATATTCATTCCAAACGCTACCGCAGGCGACGACGCCGACGCCGGCGTCGCCGGCGCATCGAATCCCAATTGATTTCCCGGCCACAAGCCAAATTGATACTGAGTCGATATTTCAGCGGGAGACGGCGGAGGATTGAATTGGTACCTGGCGAGTTCCGATCGGGCGATGGAGAGCTCAAGCTGTATCTTACGGAGCTCGTGATGGAGAATGGAGATTACGCCGACGCAGCCATAGACGGGATCTCGGATCCTCATATCCGCTTCGTAAGCGAGAGAATTGACGGCATCTTCGCGATCTTTGGGGGGGATTTCTTTGAGGAGTTTGGTGACGTTGCTGGCGCCGAAGACGCGGTGGACGCTGATGAATTTTTGGGGTTGATCAGCGAGGAAGTAAGGCGCGAAGACGCAATCGGGCTGGCATTTCCGGCGAAGGAATTTACAGGCGGCGCAGGGAGAGGAGGCCGTGGCGCCGTTGGCGGAGGCGCAAGGGGGAGGAGTGGGCGGAGGGAAGGAAGAGGGCGGAGTAAGCGACGTCATATATATATGGCTGGATTCAAATGCTGGCAGAAAGTAAAGAGATTGCAGAGTTAATTAAGTTTTAGAAATTGTTAGTGGCAAATTACTATATTTAGATTCTAACAACTATTTTTTTTTTATATTGATTTATACATAAAATAAAATCATATTAATAATGATATCATTTAAAATTTACATTATCGCATAAAAAAATTTAGATGCATACCATATAATTTTTATGCAATTATACCGCTGATATGTACTTATATATAATATTTTATTATTTTAATTACAATAAAATTAATATTAATAGTATTTTTAATAAGATTTAAAATTTAAATATTATTCAATTGAAAATGCAAGAAAACATAATTTTATCTTATAATTAAAATTAGCTTCATAATCATAATTATGCATGTAGCACAAAACTATTGTATAAATTAGTAACTTAATTATATTTTCTTATAATTTTTTTTTTTATTGTTAGTCTTACATTTTTTACATAAACTTATATTAGGAGTTCCTAATATTATTTTTTTATAAATGTCTCAAATTAATGGGTTTAAAGAAAAAATTTGACACAAAATATTCTAATTATATTTTTATCAAAATATTTATTACAATTATTGTATTAATTTTGAGATGATTTGTACTGCACTAATTTTAAAGTAAATCTTATAATTCCAAAATTTATATAAACAAACGTTTACTCAAAATTTCTACATTTGAATCCAAAAAAATCACAGATTTTAAAATATAAATATTGGATTAATTCAATCATTCAAACACAAAGATTTAAATTTGATTGCATGGATAGGTATATAATATATTTATTGCTATATTTTTACAAAATTTAAAGCAAATCTTTTTATTCTAATTAATCTATCACAAAAACTAAAAAAAATAAAAAATAAAAAAAAGGATATCAAACGATTTAATGAATTATATGTGTTATTAATTCAACATGTCTGGAGATTTTCTCTTAGGCTTCGAATTATAAGGCAGCAAATCGTTTTATTTCCTAATTAGGTTTGTTTAATGATGCGTGATTAATAAACTTTCTTTCTTTTGTGATTTTATTTTAAAAGATGAGAAGATAAAATGCTTCATATGTATCTTAATAATATATGATTCACTTTGCTCGTTAGATTGTCATAATATAAAATAAATTGAAAAGGGAATTAATATTTCTTTCTAATTAAGATGGCTTCCTTAATGATTTGATTAATTTATATTCTATTTCTTAATATTTGAAAAGATTTGGAGAAAGAAAAAAAATCATTCAATCTAAAAAAATAAACAAAAGAAAAAAATTATTTCCTTAAAATTAAGAAAAAAATACATTAATAAAAATACTTCTCAAAGTCAGAGATCTAAAAAGATATGAAAGGAACACAATTATTTAGTATAAATAAAATTAATAAAAATGCTTCTTAATATTACTTTGATCAACTATATATAATACTAATTTTAAATTAATTTACTCTCTTATAATGTCATGATATGAAATAAAATAAAAAAAATAATTTCATCTTTGAGCATGAAAATAAGATTTTTATATTATTTTTATATATTGTTTTAACTCTTTAATTTCCCACTATGTATAAACTAAAACATTTGATAAACTACATGAATGTAAAAACATTTAATAATTTGATGAAGCAAAATATTTATTTATAATTAAAAAAAACATGCCATCGGATGAGTAAAAACTAAAAAACGTTGTAAAAAATAATAATAAGAGCTCTTTTTCATTATTTTAAATTTTGAAAAAATGTATATTTGCAAAAAAAAAAAATTTGTTATAATGTAAAATTTATTCAGTTAAAAGGGCACATCTGAAATATAATGATTCTGTTCTTTAACATATAAAATGAGTGAAAGCAAATAATGAAAGTTTTGTCAACTAAGACAAATTTTCTGCCAAAAAATCACTCAAAACGCAGAGTAAGAGAAGAAGAAAAACTCGATCGACCATGAATACTATTGAAAGGAAAATATTATAAACAGTAAATAAATAACAGAGAAGAAAACAATGGAGAAGGAGTCTGCCGGCCGCCGGCAACCGACCGCCGGGTCCGGCGGCGGCGGTGGCTTAGCCATACCTCGTTGTAGCTGTTTAAGCTTCCTCTCTCTCTATATGATGATCTTTCTCTTTCTATGTCTGAAGCTATAGTATTACTGAGTGTAGTAATTGAGTCTCAGCTTGGGTCGTTTTCTTTCGTTTTGCCTCACTCTTTCTCTCGAGGATAGAGGCGAGCGTTCCGCGCGGAGGCTAAAAGATGGTGAGCAGAGACGCCTCACCCAAAATTTATGGCAGGTTTGGACAAAAAAGAAAGAAGAGAGAGAGAGAGAGAGAGAGAGAGAGAGAGAGAGTAGAATATGGTATTGATTAAGAGAGAGAAGCAGCGGGGGACAAAGATGGTGTTAAGGAAATAATTATAGAAATTTTTATGAAAATGATTTAAAAAATAATAATAATTTGCGTTATAATATGACATTGAAAATAATTAAATTTAATTAAAGATTAGTATTATACTAATATTAAAATAATTCAATAATTTTTTAATCTACCTTAATATAATTTGTATAAGGATATATTCCGAAATTATTTTTTTTTTTCAAAAAATTGTCTATTTTTAATAAAAATCTGTTGAGATGTAAGAAAACAAAAAATTTGTAGTATTATATTTAAATAATACGTCTTTGATGTATGTCATCGCCAGCAAAGTTGATACACATCATCAATGTAAGGTTGATCGATAATTATCTATTTCGTTGCTTATCCCCGCTCACAATATTAACGAAAGGCATCACGAGGACTATGACTATTGATGAAAACACCAAGATTATATTGGACATCTTAGTCATTGGTCTCCTCTTCTCAAAGGTGAATGGTCAAACAAACTACAAAGATTATCATAATATTGATATTCACTATCGCCAACAAAGATCGATGCACACTATCGATATCAACTGTTATTTCTAATGCCAACACTAATTTTATATTGGACATATTGGTCTTCTCATCAAAGGTAAATGATCAAATGTGTTATAATGCTCCTCAACTTCTATAATGAAATTTATCTTTCACAGTTCATATAACTATATTGTATCAACACTTTCCCCTACTTTGAGAAAAAGATATCATATGTAACTAATATCATATACTAGTGAAATCATTTCTAAGGTTTCATTTGAGACGGCTTTCTTACTGCTCCTTAAAGTAGTTTTTAGTGCAAAAATTTTATAAACTTTAAAAAAATTATACTAAAAATTTACTTTTAAAAGTAATAAATAAAACGTCGCAAACAAAGCCTAAAGGCATCTCCAATCGAAACTCTCAATTTTCACTGCAAAATGCAGTAAAATCAAAAAGTGTCGTGATTCATCTCCAGGGGAACGCCATTATATTTTGCCCCGAAATCATCGTCGTTTCTTTCGCGCCTATCTCAGACTGAGTTCGGTAGAGAGAAAGAAATGGCGAAAGTGAACAGTGCGACGCCAACAATATTGGCGTCACACTGTTCATCAGCGACTAAATGCCGGCAAAAATGGAGTTCGATTGCGACGTCTGAGGCTCTCCATTCGCCTGTTTGTCGAACGGCTGGAGAAGCTCTAAGGGCATCTCCAACCGAAACTCTCATTTTTCACTGCAAAATGCAGTAAAATCAAAAAGTGTCGTGATTCATCTCCAGTGGAACACCATTTTGCCCCGAAATCATCGTCGTTTCTTTCGCGCCTTTCTTAGACGGAGTTCGATAGAGAGAGAAGAAATGGCGAAAGTGAACAGTGTGACGCCAATATTGGAGTCACACTGTTCATCAGTGACGCCAATATTGGCGTCACACTGTTCATCAGTGACTGAATGCCGGCAAAAAATGGAGTTCGGTTGCAACGTCTGAGGCTCTCCATTCACCTGTTTGCCGAACGGCTGGAGAAGCTCTAAGTCACACCCTACCATTTTTTTTCTTTTCAAGGTTCTAGTGCTTTGGAGATGCTTAAGAATATTCTAATATATACATATATTTTCTTGAATAAATTTCAAAATAAAGTATTGGATACTTTTACATAATAAAATTTGAAGAGGCAGAATTTTTTTTCATAGTAATATTTGCTTATCTTCTTAGAACAAGGCACTATTATTAAAATTTTGTCATAAATCAAAATTTTCTTCCATCAGATGATAACTCTCAATCTATAGCGATCCTTTAATATAAAATAATCAATATAAAAAAGATGACTTTTATGCTTTTTAAATCTTTTATTTACAAAATTCATAGTAGTATTTTTAAGATCGGAAATTTCTTATAAGATTTTTGTCCACAAAATTGATCAGTGGTACTAAATATTTTTTCCATTTTTTTTTCTTTTTGAGCAAACCAAATTTAATCTTTTTATTCACAGCACTAATATTCTTAGAGCAAATATATAAATTCATTTTAATATAATTTTGTATCAGAATATTTTAACATATTTTTTTAAAAAATAATATATATATATATATGATCTTTGTGATGCGAAGAGTGAGGGTAGATGGCAACTAGGTAAATGCAAATTTTATACAATCATTTATATTCTTTATTACACTTTCTATGTACTTTTTTTTTTGCGGGGGGACATTTAGGTCAATTAAGACAGAATCAAACACAAATCGCATATAAAATATTCGAATTCGAGACCTCGTAGTTGGTAGTCTAAACTCTTAACCAACAGATAAGGTGAGCTGTTTTTCTATGTACTTCACTCAGATATATTAGTGTAGAATTAATTATATGTATTTTTTGCTTTCCAATTTTTATGAACTTAGATTTTATCTGGGACAATTTTTTTATTGCTTTACTTTTTAAACCGTAACTATAATTCTATTCGAAAATTGCTATTTTGCTGGTTAAAAAAAAAAGTTATGCTGGAAAAATGCTTTCTACAATAGCTTTTAAAAATTACTTTCACTACACCGCTTTACAAAAAAAAAAAAAAAAATTGAAAATGGTACCAAATAAAGCCTAAATAAAATTTGACCATATAATTCATAAGTCAATATACTAAATTAAAAGTCTTACATGTAGATCAAATCCTTGTTGAGTCCAATGGACATGGTTGTTTCTAGCATAAAAAATAGCCTTCTTTACTTATTACTTTATACAATATAGGCAAATGATAAACCGTTGTTCAATTACTTCACTGCAAAGTAAAATGAAACTTAGGCTTCGTTTGAGGTGTTTTTTTTACTGTTTCTTAAAGCAGCTTTCTAGTTGTTGTACTAAAAAGCTACTTTAAGAAGCAAGAAGAAAGCCATCTCAAACGAAGCATTAGACTTGTGGGCAATGGGCATTCCTTTAGTTGGTGGATTCTAACCGAGGGCAGATAATGGTGGTGAAGATGTTATTACTTGGAGAGGATAAGGTCAGTTGATGCAAACTTGTAGAGAACGAGAAGGCATAGAGATAACAAAGAGGTAGATGAGCAATTGTAGAAGAAGATGTAGCAGAGTTGGAGGGAGAAAAAAATATGAACTTTCATAAATGGTGCGATCTATAGAAGTAAAAACAGATCAAAACAGTGGTGTGCTTATTTAGATCAAGAGTACTCAACGAAGATACACTGTTTGTCTTTAGGATAAAGTTTATCACCATATTGAAAAACAAAAGCAAACAAATCAAAAGCATCCAAAAATACAAATGGTTATGACATTAGCAAAAGTGGTCAAAGGAAGCCAATTGATAAGATAGCAGATGTGCGAGTGCTGCAGCACACACAAGCAATAAATGACAGCAAAAAGGGGTTGAGGTAAGGAGAAATTATTCCGTGTAGAGGCCGGAAACAGATTGATGTCTGGAGACCAATCAAAATGCGTCACGTCAACGGTACCGAGCGGTACTAAGCAGTATTGAGCCGCGGTACCGAACGAAGGGGTGACATAGCGCATTTTGGTTGATTTTTGTACATCATTCTATGTCCAACCTCTACACAGAATAATTAATACGAGGTAAGAGGGTTGGGATCACTCTCATTATGATATTATATATTATGATGACAAATTTTGATCATTTTATTCGCTAAACAATGATGACTATTTATAGACATTCAAGATGACAATGATAGGAAGAATATATATATATATATATATATATATATAATTAAGGAAAAATATAACACTTTTTCTCTAAAGAATATACTCTTCTAATGAAACGATTTCTTAATATTATTTCCAAATAAGCAGTATACACTAACAACTTCATATTTTAGCGAACATGAACATGAATGTATAAGTTGCTTGAATCTAAAGAGCATAAAAACTTTTGTGGTCGTTGTTTACCAGCTCAGAGTCTGAGAAAACTGACAGAGACCATGATCTGGATCTGCTCCCAGAGCCCCTTCCAATATTTCTCAAGTTCTTCTCCTCTATTCTGTGGATAACAATACAGTAGCACATTGATCCTATTGTGGTGAGCATAATTGATGCACCAATTGCCATTGTGCCCCATGCCAGCCACCAGTCTTTCCGGCCAACCACAATGTAGGTTAGAGAGATGAAAGAGATGGAAATAAAAAGGCAAGCCACCCACATAAGCTTGTTGATAATGAAAACCATAAGTTCCTTCGCCTTCTGCTCCACAACTATCAAAGAAGTCTGGACCACAACAACAGCAAGAGATATGAAGAGCGCAAGGGAATCAAAAACAAGGAAGATGATGAAGGATGCAGTGTTGCCAATGTTGGCTTGACCAAGCTTATACCCGTCGGCCGGCTCCTGAACAAACTGGCCTGGCACCGTGAATATGGCGGCGAAGGCTACGGTGGCGATGAGCACGGCGACAATTGTGTTTGAGTTGATGGCATTGTTGAGGCCACCGATGTGAATTTTTCTGAGTCGCTTCTTAATGTGTTGGACCCGCATCTCAGTCTGTCGGGTCTGCTTGAGCTGGGTATGGACGTCATGCTTGATTTCACTAACTGTTTTCTTCAATTGTCTTGCTGGGTTCAAGTGGTTGTCCTGCTCAGTGGAAGACACGGCACCAGCTTCCCTCAAGATGGCAGAAACTTCTTCCAGGCCATTTTTCTCCGCAATGGCAAGAGCCGTGTCGCCTGCTCTATTAAGTGCATTGACATTAATGCCTTCAACTGAAGTTAGAGTCTGCACAATCTGCAAAGACGAGAGAGGAAAGATTGACGATGACTTCTAAATTGACCAGTCAGTTTTATTGATGAAACAAGGCAATAATATTTAGAAACTTGGTCTTAACCGCAAAACATGCTCCATAAATCTGTTCCATAGTTTTAAAGTATGTCACATTAATTTAATTCCTCTATAATTCACACAAAACTTGTGCATCACCTTTATTCATAAAAATAAGATTCAATACACTCAATCTCCACTCATCAGGCATCTTTTTTGTCTTCAAAATAATATTAAAAGTTTAGTAAACCAAGAAATTCCTTCATCTCCTAAGCATTTTCACACCTCTATTGGAATATTTGGCAATCAAGTAAACAAGTTTGATATATCGTGCTCACTCAATGAATTCTGAAAGACTGTACATGGAACAATTCTTGAGCGAAAGACTAGATCAAGATGGCCATAAATAGTAAATTAACAAATTTGAACACGCATTTTCTCAATCTATGGTCAAGATGGCCTTTATACCGCTGCAATTCTTAAACATAATGGTCAGAAATGGATGCATACAATTGCCAAAATTCTTTTTATTCATGAAAATCTGAAATTTTATTAGCAGTTACACTGAAAATGTCATTTTGCGCTCCATGGTTTAGGCTTTACAACTTAAAACTACAAAGAATCTTAATCCTTATGAGATGAGTTGGGTTATGAAAGTGCAAGTTTGCCACAGCCGGTATCTCATTTCTTGATTACATTATTTCATGCAAATGGGTTCAGGTTGATCCTAGGAAGGTTCCTGCAATTGTAGAATGGCCTACACCGAAATATTTTTTGATGCGTGCAGTTTTCATGGACTTGCCGAGTTTTAGCGAAGATTTATACGAGGTTTTAGTATTCTTATGGCACCACTTACAGACTATTTGAAACTAAAGCAACTCCAATGGACCGAGGAGCAACAGTGTAATTTTGAAGCCGTCAAAACTGCCTTATCTACCGCACAAGTTCTCTCATTGCCTGATTTTGATAAGCCATTCACCTTAGATATTGATGCATCTAATATTGGCATTGGAGCTGTGCTAATGCAAGAAAATAAGCCCATTGAATTCTTCAGCGAGAAATTGTGTCCAGCAAGGCAGCAATGGACGGCCTATGAACATGAGTTGTACGCAATAGTTCATGCCGTGCAGCAAAGGGAACACTGTTACATCAAGATTTCAGTTTTTGTAGTGACCATAAAGCTTTGCAATTTATTGACACTAAAAAAACATAAATCGAATGCATGCTAAGTGGGTTTTATTTTTACAGAAGTTTACTTTTGTTTTGAAAAACAATAATGGGTTTACAAATGGAGATTACTGGGCTTGATTGCCTGAAAGAATTGTATGCAGAAGATCCATATTTTGGTCCCATTTGGTAGAAATGTTTATGCAATGAATTTTCTGCTGATTTTTAATTCAAAAATAACCTTATGTGCATTCCAGAATCATCATGGCGACAGTAGATTATTAAGGAAATTCATTGTGGAGGATTGTCCGCTCATGTAGGTTGTGAAAATACAATTGCACAACTTCAACAGAAATTTTTTGGACTCATTTGCGAAGAGACACAGCTCATTTTATTGAAAGATGCTCAGTGTCAAAATTATAAGGGATGCAATCAGAATACATGCTTTTATACTCCTTTACCGATTCCAAACTCAATTCGGGAGGATTTAAGTTTGGATTTTATTTTGGGGTTACCTCGTACTAAATGAGGTAACAATTTCATTATGGTAGTTATTGATCGGTTTTCAAATATAGCATATTTTATTGCATGTAAGAAAACTTTTGATGCACTCGACATAACATGAATGTTCTTTAATGAAATTGTTCGTTTTCATGGTATCATGCAAAGTCTCACTTTGGATCATGATGTCAAATTTATTAGTCATTTTTTACGTGAGTTATGGAAGCGATTGCACACCGACATCCAATTAAGTTATGCATATCATCCACAAATGGATGGGTAAACTGAAGTCATCAATCATACACTTGGAAATATGCTTCGCTACCTTGTCCAAGAACACTCAAGAGTCATGGTTTTAAAAACCGGACCAGACTAGCCGGTTCAATCGGGAACTGATCAGGCGGTTGGTTCCGTCAGCTACGATAACTGCATTTGAGCAAAACCACACGGGAGAGCAAGAAAATTGTGGTTTGACCCCTGCCCCTAAACAGACGGATTGGACCGGTTTTTCAAAAACCACGCAGTTTAAAATAGTGAATTCCTAGTCATTGATTTAAGATCAAATGGTCAAATCAAAGAAATCCATTTCTTAAATCATAATTATTAATTCTCATTCGTTGCTCAGCTTCTTCTCGTTCCAGCCCCCGAACCAGACCTAGTTCTCATTCCTAAGCGCGACCTATTGCATGAGACGAAGGCATTGCCAACGCTATTCATCGTTGCTGACATATCCCCTAATCTAAGTCGATACTCGGTTTCTATTTATCATTGACTTACAATATTATTAGCTGTGAGTATCAATTGATTTCTATTCATATTGCAATTTTCACCACAAATAATAATTTTTCAGTTCTTTTCCTCCATATATCGGCCAAAAAATTCGATTTCTTTTGCAAAGTTTTGAGATAAGATGATTTATGCATGAGTATATGTTGTTTTGATTTCGTTGTTTGTCGCAATTAGCTAGAATTGACCCGAGCTTGGTTGTTGTCATGTTTCTTTGTTTTAATGCACACATGCGAGTTTTTGGCTTCACTTCTCTGTTGCTTTGCCTTGCCATGCTATTGGCTTGGTTATCTTGTTGAAGTTTGCTATTGTTATGATCCTAAATGTTCCTAAATTCACTAGCAAGCTGTTTATGATCTATTTTGTCATGGATTATCTGATTTTCTACTCTTTGCTAATTAGAATATGATAGGAATCCGATCTCCACACATCAAAAACAACAATAACTAAGAAAAAACATAGAAGAAATCAACGAGAAAGAAAGAGATTATTGGCTAATTTTATTGATATAGGCACAACAAACCAAAATACAAGTTGATCTACTATTCCAGAGGTATACCGACTCTCCACAAACCCTAGAAGTTGTTAGGAACAACTGCAAAAAAAAAAAAACTACAACAAACACACAAATCACATAATGAAAATAAAACAACATAATTAACCCTAAATAAGCTCTCCTAATTGCCTCCAAAATCTGAATTCAAACATCTCTCTCTCTAAATAATTTCCTCCCAAATCTGAATTCAAATCAGCCATCTTTCCCTAAATAAACCTTACAAATTTTCTCCCAATCAAATCAGCCCTATTTCCCTAATAAACATTTCTAATTCCCACCCAATTTTGATCTTCTATGGTAAGTAATTAATCCTCTTTTGAGCCCCCTCTCTCCTTGCCCCGCCGTCCACCCTAGTGGGGCCCACAAGCTCAGCCAGTCCATCAAAATATTCAATGTTGATTTTTTATATTCAAAACTTACAAAATTGTTGGCTTATGCTTGAGTGTTAACCATTAATAGTGTTGAGCCATGTTCGATCCCAAGACTTTTTTTTGCATTGATTGACAAAGGTTATCAAGATGGTATGGAAGCCAAAGTCTTGATTTCTATCCATTTCTTTATATTTATAAAGCATATTCCGCCTTTGTTATTATAACGAAAAACAATAGGCTTGTAGATAACCCATGAAAGTAAATTGGTATGGTTAATTGAAGAGAAGGAAATCAAATAATATATTTTTCTAGTTGACTCTAAAATTCCACTGTTGTAGATTGCATAATTTTGGTTTCATGTTTTATGCCAACTTTGTCGTCAGATCTCTATATCTCAAGTTGTATACTTGTGATAAGTATGAAATACACACTACTTAGTGGCTTGGTTTGAAAACAATGTTGTTATTTTGATTGTCTCCAAATAAATTTATTCAATTAATTTTTATTTTTTATTATTAGATTATATAATGTTTAAATATAATAAGTACGTCATTCAGTTCGAACCCAATCGAACCATCAAGCCGTTAACCTCTCATTCTTCCAGTCCATTAATCGGTCCACAACCTTATCCAAGACTATGAGATGATGTATTCAGTAAGGTCGAATTTTCCTATAACTCTATGCCAAACTGATCAACAGGATGTTGTCCTTTCTGTACTGTTTATACAAAGAGGCCACATTATACAATCGATCTTTCTGTTATTCCAAAATGTAAGAGTAAATCCACTTCAGCTTTTGCTGACCAATTTGTTACTATACTCTCAGGTGCTAGGAGCAAGCTGCAACAATCAAACGAAAAATACAAGTTAGCAACGAATATCCACCATCATGCACAAGTATTTAACCCAGGTGATTTAGTCATGATTTGTTTGCGGCGCAAACATTTTGCACCCAGCACCTATTCTAAATTAAGCAGACGAAAGATTGACCCGTTTCCAATTATGAAAAAGATCAATAATAATGCTAATGTTATTAATTTACCTGCTAAGTTTAACACTTCCTCTACTTTTAATGTTTTTTATTTATATCCTTACCACCCACCGGATGATGCTCCAGCTGCCATTGACTCGTCGGATATGAGTATTCCTGCCACCGGGGGGTCCTGCTGCGGTGCATCTAATACAAGGAAGAGCTTAAGGAACATTTTATCTTATTGCTATTTCCATTTTAAAGTTATTACCCGCTACCGTAGTTTCCTTTTTCTGTTTTGATAGTACATAAGTAACTTTTTCTGTTTAGGTGTTTTTTAGCAAGAAGGAAATATACTTCTTCATAGAGAACAGACATATATATAGTTGTATTTTACTGGGAAGAAGTTAGAATAGACAATACTCATATTTTCTGCTTTACTGTTTTATTGTTTGGTTTGCTAGCAATCTCTTCTTCCAGTGACCACCACGTCAAAAACTTGATGCTCTCAGTCTACTTAAGTATCAACAGTACTAGATGACAACTTGAAGGAAGTTATATGTACAGGCAGGTAGCTGATAGATAAAAGGTTAGACCAAGCCTTTAAGTTCACATTCTTTGCCATTGATTGATGGGCTAAACAGGTCAGTCACTGTGGCTGATTTTAGGAGGTCGATAAGAAAAAAGAAATTAAGATGGTTGACTTTATTTTTCTTGGGGTTAAACCAAGGAAAAGATAAATGAACACTTGAGGATTACAGCCATACAACAGATAAAGCAATATATAATTAATTAATTATGAGTTTGGAATACAAAGTGCACGAGTCTCCTCCAGTTTAGTGGTCTAGGAAAGGTCGATGTATTCAACATTATTTCATTTGCATCGCAAATAATTGTTTTCATTCTACAAACTTGTGAGATCCAAGTCACAATTTAGGAAATATAATTATTCCTCCAAGCCAACCTCTGTAATACCCAAATTTTAACATTAAATTTTAAAAAATGTGAGCTAAAAATATCCCTTAAAATTTATATTGTAATTTTTGCACATTCCAAAAATTATCAAAATTATTCTTAAAAATTTTACATTTCATTTTGATCATTTTGATATATATAAAGGTACATAGATATAATTAGGCATGGTAATATTTATAAATTAAATTAGCTATTGAATAATTGCTTTAAGATTATACTAAATGTTACTGTAGCTGCTTATTGTACTATAGCAAAATCCTATTTTTCTAAAATTCAGTGTAATAAAGGGTAAATAGATAAATTTAGAGTAGGGATAATTTATAGGATAATTTAATTACATAATTGATAATTTAGATTGTTCCATATTATCTAATAAAACAACCTAAGAAAAGGGAAAAGAAGATGAAAAGAGGAAGAGACCTATTTTAAGAAACCTATTTTAATATTTTCCTTTATAATTTGAGTTTCAATCAAGTTTATAGAGGTGAGACTTGAATGAGGAAAAATCAATTTGAGGTAACAATATTATTCAAGCTTAAGTGATTTAACTTCGAGTTGTCAATTTAGATTTTATATTAAATTGAGAAAATTATTATAATCAGGTTATTTACGCAAGAACAAGATATCGAGACAATAGAAATTAAGAAATTTGTTCTGAGGAAAATCCTGTAATTCAGGTGAGATATTCCGCTTGTAAAAAATGGGGTGAATTGTTCATAAGTCTCTAATGGGGGAAATACAACAGCCTATATTGTTCGCCCTCATGGTTGGCTGGAGAGGGGTCGAAATGGGGAGTGACAATCTCTCTATTATATATTTATGAGATATGATTCAAAAGAACAAAATGACAATTATAAACTTAAAACTTTATTTTAAACTTTAAGGCTAGGACGAATGCTACAGTGAGACGTGCAATTGCAAGCTATAAATGCATGTCATATTCCTATGCCAAGGCAATGGCGCAATGGCTAGATAAGAGCATTTTCTCAATGATAAAAAGGAAAGAAAAGAAATCCTTTAGACCTCAAGGAAGTTCTGAAGAATAACCTGAACGAACGAACTTGGATTATTTAAATAGGCTTCATATCCAGAACTTCTGAAGTTCTATGCTAAAAGTGCTCTAGTAAGGAAGTAAAGTTAAAAGCTTACCAGATACTCATTTTTCACGATAGTTCATTTCAAAAAAAAAAGGGTAAGTTATAAACATTATCGCCAGATATAGAACTTGAAATCTAAATTTCAAAATTTTCTTGAAAGGACTAAGCAATTCAACAGTAATAAAATTGGTTGGGGACGCCAACTAACTACTTGCATACAGCTTGATTTTATTCCATCAAAACGACATATTTGCTGTCATATTGGTAAAAACCTCTAGAAATAAAAGCAGACTTGCCTCTTTTTGCAAAACATGTGGAAAGGCATGTTGCTTAACATGAAAAAGAAAATAGTAATCACTCTGTTTAGCTAATTGAGGTTTCATTTGGGATGACTTTTTTGCAGCTTTCAAGTACAAAATTTCAACTTTTGTACTAGAAAGTTATTTTAAGAAGCAATAAAAAAATCATCCCAAATAAAGCCTAAGATGGCTAGTATTGTGGACATGCTTCATAAAAATTATTGCTTTCTACTAACAAAGTGTGTATTGCGAAGATGATATAACTGACCTCGGGACGATTTTTCCTTGTCGCGATATGCAGTGGAGTATTGCCCTTATTATCTTCTGCATTGACAATGGAAGAGTCAGGTTTCAACAGTTCGAGTACAATAGTTACATTATTTCCTTTTACAGCCATGTGAAATGCTGTTTGTCCCTTCTTATCAGTCCTTGCTCCAATGCCGGGATCCTTACTTAAAAGGGACCTCACCACTTCAACATGCCCCATCCTGGCTGCTGAGTGTAGAACAGTTTTTCCATTGTTCCGAGCAATCTTGGCTAGACTTGCATCTGTTTCTAAAAGAAGATTAACTATGTCAACATGACCTTGAGTTGCAGCAGTGTCCAGAGCAGTAGCATTTGACGAACTTGTTGTCATAGCTAATGAGGAAAACGAATTCAAGAGCTCCTTTAGAACTCCTGTAACAAGATGTAAATGCGGATCATGATACTAAAACTTGGTACGGAATGAATGACAGAAAATTGAAAATCAAGCATAACAATAAAAAACTTATATAAGCATACTATATATCTCAAAGCATGCTTATTATCTCAAAAGCTATGGCCGGTATACTTTTAATCACTTTGAATGTCCAGGTAGTTTCTGAAGCAAACTATGGTTTATGATTCAACAGCTTTACTAATCTAAGTAACCTAATAAAAGAAACACTCTTCAGATGCTGGCAGCTATTAGAAAACATATGTTAAGCAGATTTATGATATCTTTAGGGGAACTTTGCGTGAATTTACTAAATTCATGCACAATTCTGTAAATACGATGCAAGCTTCAAACTCAAGACATTTTTCTTAGGAGCAGAACCTCCCAACTACAAGAACGAGGTAGGCTTCATAGATTCATGACATCTAACTGAGCTATTTGCTCTTTTTTCAAAATCATACCACAAGTACATTTTCTCTAGATTCAACTGCAACTTGAGGATGAAACTAAGATCTCATATACAACTCATGACAAGGCTTTTGCAGTTCTAGAAGACAGACCTCTAAGACTTCAAGGTCAAGATTCATGGTGTAAAACTAATGGAGCAATACTATGTCATGCATTTATTATTGGCAACTCTAAGAAGAGAGAATTTTCAATAATTGAGAGAATGGCAAATAATATTTGTCTAAATTCTAACCATCTTATTAAGATTAAAATTAAAAGTAATTAGAAGTGTAATCACTTTTCAGGAAATAAAGAACAACTTTAAACCAATAAACGTACAAAATTTAAAACAATTACATGTACTTGTTGCATGTAGAATTTTACTTCTATTATAAATGGATGCTAAATGATGTAATTTCAACCTTAACATTGTCGAAAAAGCAGCCAGACTAAGTAGCTTCATTCATTGTGCAAGAAAATTGAGGCGATAGAAAGACAATTTTACATCCTAGTTTTGCATGAAATCTTGCACAACATAAACAAAAGAGAGACGCAGGAGAAATTAGAGCTTTTATGAGAAAAAAAATGTAAGAGAAAAATTTTTCAAGGCCCAATACAGATGAAATGATCCATTATGTAAGTAAAATTATAAAGGTCTACTCTTTCCCTCAATTGGAGCTGACGAAATTATAAAGTGAACCCAAATTTGATCTCTTGTAATTGTAGTAAAGCTAATTGAAAAAGTACTAAAAGGTGATGATAACGCTCATATGATGTCAGTCGAGTGTTGGTGGTAGAATGACAGTGGTCAAACAACAATAGTCGGATGATGATAGCCAGATGAAGATGGTCAAATGATAACACGCAGACGATGGTGGTCAGGCGACAGTAGTTGGACTACTTTGATGGGATGACCGTGAATGAACTATGAGAACTACGTGGTGGTACGACAGTGAATAGGCTCAAAGGTTGGGCGACGAAGGTTGAGCAATAATTGTCAAAATATGGCGGTGGCTGGCGGCGATCTTCAACGTAAAATGTCGGTAAGAGCTCTAAAGTTTTCCATATTTTCAAACTCTCTCCAATCTCAAGTCAAACTCACTCTCGTGTAGGGAAAGGGGATATATTTATTTATTTATTTTAGTAACATTTTGATAAATCTAATCATAATCACAAAATATTTCATCAGACCGCCTATATTGATCATCTTAATCTTAGATCATTTTTTTAGCATTTAAGTGTCTTCTCGGCATCAAAATTAAATGATCTTTGGCTCATTAGCTAATCGAGACACTCATTTTAATTATAAACATGCAAGATTAGAGATCATTTGATTCTTCAATTAATGTCCTAAACTTTTTAATCATATTTTATTTGATTTGGGCTCAAATCATATTACTTTTGGTGTCATCGGGTTCGTCTCATTGATATGTTAGATTCCTGCTAGATCAAATGATTTTTTTGGTCTAGTGTCATTTTTCTCCAATTTTTAGACATTAAAGTATGCATCGTCTTAAAATATATATAGAATGTTTGAAAAAATTTGCAATGTAAAAATATAATTTTGAAAAAAATCATAACGTGGATCTCCCCTTAGGGCTATGAATCAAGTAAATTCTCCCACGCTATAATTTCACTATTCGCTTAAGTTGTTGTGCAAATTAAGTAAAAAATGACAATATTTTGCTCCAACTCAAATTTGATCAAAATTGGTTATAGAAACTCTGCCGGGCTTTAAAAATGCCAAAATTGAATATAACATACAGAAACAATAAGCATCATAGGAGAGCATGCAAGAACTATAGTAACTGCTTAAATTTTTTTTCTACAACAGATAAAAGATTTGTCAAATTTTTGCAAAAAATCTCAAATTTTTTACAAAATTATAAAAAAAATTGTAACTCCTCTCTTTAAAAACCCCAACTGGGAAGAGAAAGCTCACTTCTATCAATTCCCTCTCATAGGTTCTGAATCTATCTTTTAAAAGAGGTTAAAAATTGTCCTGTGTAGGTGGTGTGCGCTTCCCTCATTTGTAGGGCTCGGTACTCCTCTACATAGAGGCATGACTAGTGATTCTGTGACAAGATCAATATTGGGCAAATCTTCTTGGCTCCAAGCAAAGACATCTTAGTTCTAAAGTAAGAAATTCACACATTACAACCTCTCCTCTTTAAAAAGCAAAGAGCAAATCCATATTATTTGTGAAAAATGTTCATCGGATAACAGGATGTGGACTCAATCTTTTGCAAGCGAGGCCTTTAAAACATGCATTCATCACAAAGATCAAAGTTTTCAATACTCAATGTAATATTGTTGAATTAGCCTCTCAATTTCTTCTTTCAATTGCTTAGAGGCTTTGGTGGCTTCTGTACGACTCTGGTGAAAATGAAAATAATGCTCCTAATTTTCAGTATTTAGCCTTAGTGAATCAAGCCACTTAATATTTCTCCTCATCTTGGATGGCCATCAGAACAATGGCACGAGATCTATTTGGTAGAATGTACTCTTATTATCTATATATTTTCATGTTATTGCAAAGAAGGTCAATGAGAAAGATGATAATTTCTTTGTTATTTATGTTTTCTTCGTTGTGATTTTTGGGTTACACCTTAACCATTCTTTTGTTTGTTGGATGATTGTTTGCACTGTTTTTTAAGTCCATTGATAGCCTCATCGACAATCATCTGTACTTTCACTCTCTAAATAAGATCAACAATAGACCAATAATCTCCTGCATCAATGATGACTATAAAGGCCTAGGGAGAATATCTAAGACACTTCACAACAACTCAGGATCCACTCCTAAAATTTAATGAGCTTAGGCAAAAATCTTTGAATATATTTTTCTAAGGGTTCTCCTTCATTTTGACGGAATTCTCGAAATATTGGATAAATCCATGATGATTCTTAGACTAGCAACAATCAGTTTGATGAAAAGTTAAGTAAAATGCACAAAATTATTGATAGTATCATCGAAAAGCAAGTAGAATCAAGTACAAACTAAATCATGAAGAGTAGCGCGAAAGACCTAGTGGAGAAGCATATTAAAAACTTGTTGAATATGTGTGATAATCCTATAATGATTGATATGCTCATATGGATCGGAGGACTCATCATTAGGGTTGAGATTTTAACTTAAAAATCAAAGATAGCTCGAAGATTGAATCGATTTTTGACACAAATCGAGCCAATTAAGCTAAGACATGAGCCAAATTTTTGGCTTGATACAATTTTAAGTTATAAATGGATTTGCTCAAATAGGCTCGAAATATTTTTTTATTTATAAAATTTAATTTTTATTTATATCTAATATACTTTTGTTGAACTCTAAATTACATGGTGGTTTCTTGAGTGATATACAATGTGACAATTAAGTCCATTTAGTTTTTCGCACCGACTAAAGTTTGAAATCATGTGACAACATAATTCTTTTAGTTTTTTGTTAACTGATTTTGATTAATATAAGATCGAGCGACTTCATTTAAGCCAACTTGAAATTAGAATAAGTCATATCAAAATTGATTCAATGTTGATTCAAGCTAGCTCGAAATCGAATAAATCAAGTCACAATTCGATTTCAAACTAAACTCCAAGCCATCAAGCCGACTTTGAATTGACCCAGGAGCTCCTCAAAATCGAATTGTTCACAATTTTACCCCACTAGAATGGGATGCAAGAGGATTGCATTATTCAAGGCAAATACTCTTAAAAACAACATTGGAGAGCAAGTTTAAATCTCTTATCATAAATTCATCTTGAACTAGGCATCACAACTCATCTAATATATGTCAAGAGGAATATCTATAGGACAAGGTTTGGTCAAGCTGCTACCATTGGCAAAGGATTGCAAGTTGGTCAAGCGCTAAGAGAAGGATAAGTTGAAGTAACAATATCAATGAATTCTACATTAGGCCGTGGGAGAGGACGAACTTTAGCAAGACGATGAAGGAGCCTTGCAAAAGTATCTTTAAATTATATAACCCTATTCTATTATTGATTTTGTGTCTAGTGGGCTTCATTATATTGTGATGGTACACTTTGTAGACCAACTTCCTCCAAAAGTCGAAGTATTCTAGCTTGATGCTCCTCCATCTCATACATCAGATACTCCAACTTTGGGCCTTGAGAACATACTCCTGCCAAATTACTTTGCCCTTAGATGTGGGACTAATTCTTAGATTGATGAGTATTGGAACTAAAAGATCCATTATTGTAAGAAATATTCTGTCAACCATTGAACTAGTGTTTATAGAATGTTAGTGTATGATTTTCACAAATGGCGTCAAACTGTGACTAGAAATTTCATGAGGATAGAGAGATAAATTTATATCCTAGCTTTATACAATAATCTTGCACACATGCAAACAAAAGAGAGAAAAATAGAAGATGTCATAGTTTTATGTGAAAAATCGGGAAGGGAAAACAACTATGGGACCTAGCCCAATTGAAATGATCCACTATGCACGCAAAATTACAGTGGTTTACTGTTCCCCTCAATTGGAGAAGACGAGATTACAAAAAAGTGAACTCAAGCTTAATCTATTCTAATTGTAGTATAACTTGCTCGATAAGTAGTGGAGGGTGATGATATGAAGTTATCATATGATGTTATTGTGAATTGGCAATAGGGCAACGACGGTCAAACCAAGACAATTACATTATGATAGATGGACAATAATGATCAGATGGCGGCAACGAGAGATGTCATTAGGGCGATGACAGTCGAGTGAGGTGAATTGACAATGATGGCCAAGTGATGGTAGACGGGCAACGGAGGTCGATTGATGATAGTTGGATGAGTGGTAGGTAGCGATAATCGTCGGTGTCGAAGGTTTGGTATAGCTCCAAAATTCTCCATATCTTAAACCTCTTTTTAATCTCAAGGCAAGGTCTCTCTTATATAAAGAAAGCCAAAATCCCAAAACTCTCCATTGGATGTCCTGTGTTATCCCTTTGATCATAGATTATTTTTTTAGCATTTAAGTGTCCTAATGATCCAGAAATAATTGATATTGGGCTCGTTGGGCTGCTCTCATTGAAACTTTCGTTTTGACTATAAGCATGCAAAAAGATATATCATTTGATCCTTTAATTAATGTCCCAAAATTAGTGTTTGACTTGGGATTATTTGGACTCAAATCAGATTTTTTTGGTGCCATCAAATTTATCTTGTCAATACATTCAATTCAACTATAAGTTTATTGAAATCAAAATTAGAATGGTCTTGAACTTAAGTCTTGGAAAATTGTAATTAAAAAATTGTATTGAGATTTGTGCTTGATAAGATGGATTTTATTGTGGCGCATCATCCATAAACCTATAAATACTTGAGAACTGAATTATAGCTGTCTATGAGACCTAAAAGCTAATATAATATAGTGCACGTCTGGAAATATACTTTCAAGTGTAATGAAGGCACACCACCATAATAAGGTACTAGAATGGTTCAGCACTATAAGGAACACGCTTTGCTTGGTGCTGATAGAACAGGCGAAAAGAAAAAAGATTAAACTAAAAGGAACACTCAATAGAAAAAGATCCACTAATTCCTGAGCTAGCTGCCGACTACATATGTACATATCAAGGAGGAAAACACCTAGGCAAGGCCTTTAATTAGGTGCACAAAACCTTGGAATTTGGTTATAGATTTTAATGTAGGAAATGGAATCAACGAAAAATAGACTAAATTCAGAAATGAAAAGGAATATAAAAAGAAGTTTGTCTATAAATTACTGTGTTGCGAAAATGGAAGAAACACTTTAAGGTCAAATTAAAGGAGAAAGAAAATAATGGAAAAGACAAGTATAAGATCAACAAATCAATTATTTATAAGCGGTTGTGTGGTGGACCAAACTGTGTATTGTGATGTTCAAATTATTACAAGACTTTGAATCCAAAGAGCAACTTCTAAGTCTATAAAATATGATTAATTAATTGTGATCCAAACCATTAAGAAATATATTGATTTGATCAGCACCCCAACTTGTAGAAAAATAAATGATAGTTGGCTACATCCTCATTTGCTTGTGAAAAAAAAAAGGATATTAATTGTCAACGTCTACATGTAATATTCCAAGCGCTATCAAACCTAAAAAACGTTATCAAGCAGTTCAATTGTAACTGAAATAAAGAAAAAGAAGCAGATTAATGGAAGTTCAAAGATAAAAAAGACAGACCCGAAACCCATACCAAAATGGCCTTGTTTAGCAGCAATATGAAAGGCATCGAAGCTGTTGCAGGCCTTGATAGCAGCTGATTGTAAATCAGACACCTTCAAAATCTCGCACACCACCTCAACATGCCCTTTCTCTGAAGCAACATACAGTGCAGTCTCCCCATCCTGATTCTGCTTGGAAATCATATCCTTCAATTGAACATCACCGCAATCTGAAAGAATATTCCGAACATCGACAGGGTTTCCAGCTCTTGCAGCCAGATGAAGCATTGTATCTCCTCGCCTCCCGGGGCTTTCCTTGATCCTCCTCTCTAGAAAACTCTTCTGCTTTTCCATTGCTCTATACTTAAAACTCTTCTGCTTCTCCATCCACAGTTGAGTTGACCCCCTTTGCTTTTCCTTAATCTATCACTGAAGTCGTCTTAGCCAGATCATAAGCTTAACTGCCAAGATTTGAGATGATCCATATATCAAAACTTGCTCATCTGGGGATGTCAAAATTAAAAAATATGCACAGAAATCTTCAAAGCAAATCAAAACCAGATTCTAAGCTCAGTAGAAAAGCGAGCAAGCACTTCAATGGATATCAGCACCTTTTCCTTCAACCACACTAAAAATCAAACCATGTACTTTATTTCTTCAAAAAACATCCAAATCGACATGTTCATTGAATCCAAAAGTGAAGGAAAAAGCCCCAGCTCTTATTGAAATCATAGCCCAAACTGTCATTTACCTCAGGCCAAACAAATCTCCAATCAGAGAAACACCGGCTTCTCCAATATCATGGATTTCCAGTACACTAATCAATCCAGTTAGCCTTCTCTTAATTTCAAAACAGCTAAAAGAACAGAGAGATAGAGTTTGTGGGAACTGGGAAGCAGGCCTAGCTTTCATGGTAATAGCAGCCGCAAGAGTCCAACGCTTCCCACGGAGGCAAATTATTGGGTCAGGTGACCGAACCCAAAGATAGGTTCGGATAATAATAAAATATTATTTTAAAATTAGCGCAACTAAAGCGCAACTAAAGCGCAACCAAAGCGCAACTAAAGCGCAACCAAAGCGCAACCAAAGCGCAACTAAAGCGCAAGTCAAAAAGTGCAACTAAAGCGCAACCAAAGCGCAACTAAAGCGCAACCAAAGCGCAACTAAAGCGCAAGTCAAAAAGCGCAACTAAAGCGCAAGGTGACGCGGCAAATTTTTATTGGCTGTCCGAACTTATCTTTTGGCTCCGGTCACCTGACCCAATAATTGACACGTCACGACAACCCGATACCGGACCATAGGGGTGTCAATATGAGCTCGGGCGGGGCGGGTCGGGTGGGGTCGGGTCGCGCCAAGCACCATACCGGACCATAGGGGTGTCAATATTTGACACGTCACGACAACCCGATCTGGACCCGACCCGGAAAATCCGGGTTGGACCCGACCCGTTTGATAAACGGGTTGGGTTCGGGTTCACAGATTTGACCCGTTTAATAAAATGGGTCGGGTCGGGTTGACCCGGCGGGTTACCGGGTCAACCCGAAAA